TGGACATTTGGATCATTTTCATTTTTGGCTATTAGGAATAATGATATAAACATTCTTGTACAAGTCTTTATGTGAACATATGTTTTCATTTCTTTTGAATAGTTACTTGGAAATGGAATTGCTGAGTCATATGATAAGTCTGTGTTTTAACTCTTTTAGAAACTGCCAAACTGTTTTTCAAAGTGATGACACTGTTTTATATTCCAGGAACAATGCATGAGGGTTCTGTTTCTCCACATTCTGTCCAGTACCTGTTATTGTCAGTCTTTTTATTACAACCATTCTGATAGATGTGTAGTGTAACCTCACTGTGGTGTTAATTTGCATCTCTCCAGTGACTTACGAAGTTGAGCAAGTTTTCATATGATTATTAGTCATTCGTGTATCTTCTTTTGTCAAATGCCTAGTCATATATTTTGCCCTAGTTTTAATTTGATAATTTATCTTTTTACTGAGTTACAAGATTTTATATATTCTGGACACAGGTTTTTTTATTCATATATATGATATGCAAAGATTTCCTCCCATTGTATGGCTTGTCTGTTTGTTTTCTTAATAGTGTCTGTTGAAGAGCAAACATTCTTGATGAATTTTTATCTTTTTTCTTTTCTTGTATGGATTCTGCTTTTGAATCCAGGGCCACATAGATTTTCTTTTCTTGAATGTGTTCTGCAGACCATATCTGGCCCACAGCTTGTTATTGTAATATTTTATCGGAACATAGTCACACCCATTCATTTACCTAATGACTATGGCTGCTTTCTCTTTACAGTGACAGTTGAGTAGTTTCTACAGATATTGTATGGCCCAGAAAACCTACAGTATGGCCCATTTCAAAAGATGTTTGCTGAACCCAGTTCTAGATGTGTTACGGTTTTAGATTATAGTTGTGGCTATTAACCAGTTTGTGTATGGTATGAGGTAAAGGTCTGAGTTCACTTTTTTTCTATGGATACGCAATTATCCCAGTACCATTTGTTGAAAAGTCTATCCTGTAAGTAATGAGTCATTTTCTTTTTGCTGCTTTCAAGATTTTCTCTTTGTCTTTGATTTTCATCAGTTTCATTATGGTGTACCTAGGTTGGGAATCTCTTTATACTTACCTACTTTGGGTTGTTTAGTTTTTTTTGATCTGAAGATTAATGTTTTTCATGAAATTTGGAAAGTTTTCAGCCATTATTTTTTTCTAATACTTTTACTGTAACTTTTCTGGGATTCCCATTGTGTGCATCCTCCTATGTTTGATATTGTATATATTAAGCATAGTTTCCTTTATTTCTTTGAACATATTTTTAATAACTTTTAAAATCTTTGTCTGCTAAATCTAATATCTGGTCCCATTTGGATACAGCTTCTACTTCCACTCCCACCCCCACCCTACGCCCAAGAGTGGGTCACAGGTTCCTTTTTCTTTGCCTCACAATTTTTTTCTTGAAACTGGACTCTTTACATTCTGGGTTGGCCAAAAAGTTTGTTTGTGTTTTTCCATAAGCTCTTACAGAAAAAACGGAACGAACCTTTTAGCCAATCCAATAGTATATTATAGCAACTTTATTCTTTTTTTTTAAACTTTTTATTTTATATTATAGTCAATTAACAATGTTGTGATAGTTTCAGGTGTACAGCAGAGTGATTCAGTTATACATATACATGTATCTATTATTTTTCAAATACTTTTCCCATTTAGGTTGTTACATAATATTGAGCAGAGTTCCCTGTGCTATACAGTAGGTCCTTGTTGGTTATCCATTTTAAATATAGCAGTGTGTAGTGTCAGTCCCAAACTCCCTAACTATCCCTCCGCTCTACCCTTCCCCCCTGGTAATCATAAGTTTGTTCTCTAAGTCTGTGAGTCTGTTTCTGTTTTGTAAATAAGTTCATTTGTACCTTTTTTTTTTTTTTTTTTTGCGGTACGAGGGCCTCTCACTGTTGTGGCCTCTCCCGTTGCGGAGCACAGGCTCAGCGGCCATGGCTCACAGGCCCAGCCGCTCCGCGGCATGTGGGATCTTCCCGGACCGGGGCACGAACCTGTGTCCCCTGCATCGGCAGGTGGACTCTCAACCACTGCGCCACCAGGGAAGCCCCCGTTAATTTTTTTAAAAGTAACTTTCGTGGACTCTGTGTGGAATTTGTCTCTCTCACAGTATTTGGCTACTGATGTAACTCCTTAGCTTTTAAAAAATTCTTATTTATATTGTTTACCCTGGCTTTCTAGAGTTCACCCCTGTATCTGCACTGCTTAGTGCTTAGCTACTGTTTGTTTGGAGGTTGTGCTTAAACATGTTGAGCCTGTATACCTTTCACCCTCTGCTGCTGGATTGTGTATGTTTTGGGGAGCACATATGAAATTTTCAAGTTTGCCTCCTTTGCTTTCTGTTGGATCTTCTCTGGTCTCCCTGTGCATGTGTGGAGGTTTCCAGTCAGCCAGGGATGTGTAAGAGCTTGGTGTCTCTCAGGTCTCCACTTACCCTTGTGCTTGCTCTCATCCTCCCAATTACCTGGCATTTGGCGAGAGCTTAGGGCCTTATGGACCTCCCCTGCACACATGTGCTGCCTCCTGTTCAGCCAGGTCACCATCAGGGCATCTCTTCAGAATATATGCATTTATTCAGTCCCTATTCAGTCCCTATATGGGTCTCTCCTTTCCCAGACCTCCCTGTTAGATTTCTAGGTAGTCCTCAGGTTTGTGGCTTGCCCCAAATGATATGGTAATTTCAGGCAACAAAAGCTGCAGGATTTTCTGTTTCCTGCTGGGTGTGGGTATTCTGCTCTCTACTTCAAATCAAAGTCAGCTTCCTTCAGCGGTGAAGCTGCTGGTTTTCACAGGCAATCTCACCTTGCTTTCACCATAATGTTGGTGGAGCAGGGAAGGGAGATAGAGTCAGTTCCTGGTAAGATGCCAGACTTCCACTGTTCTTCCCAAGAAATCAGTTTATTTTTCATGAATAAACTCTTCTCACTGTGTTATTCGCCCTTGGTTGATTTCCAGAGCACAAAATGGTTGGTTTTTTTGACAGCTTTATCCAGTTTTTATAATTGTTATTTGAGGGCGAGATTTTATACTCCTTCACTAGGGAAGTCCAACTTCACAACTTGGATTCTAAAACCTAGGAATATTACATTTCAAAGCCAAATGCTCTTTTCTCTAAGTCATGCTTTGTGGGGATAGAGAACAACAAGCAATTTTTTAAAAAGAGAAATAACAAAGAGGTGGATGGATGAATCTTGATTCAGAGCTTAGATTTCTAAGTAGTATTAGACTTTTACCTCTGTGTAGATAGTTCAGACAGGTTAATTGAATAGTTTAGTGGCTGTTACGGAGAGGAGACGTGTCTGCTCAGAGTGAAGCAACTATTGTTGACAAAGTACTTTTCTTGTAGTATTCCTTACTTCATAACAGTTTTATGAAAAGGGTATTGTAATTATGATCATTTTACAAATAATATAAATTTTTAGGTTGGTAACTTACCTATGCTCTCAACATTTATTTGTATGTGATAGAGATAGTACTTGAGTCCATTTCTTCTGACTTCTTGTTTTTTATACTCTATATAACTGCTTCCCTACTATGTCATAATTACTTGCAGACTCTTTAATGATCTTAGTGTATTTATTTATGTAGGTAGTACTTGAAGTTAGAACAATTCATAACAATCTTCTTGAATTTTTACTAGCGCTCAAATTCTTTTCTTTCATATGATAATCACTCTTAACTTACTGAAGAGCCCCTATTCGTTCATGCAGTTGTTAAGCAAAGTGGTAAGAATCAGAGAAAGAGATATCCCATGGCAGCTTCCTCTGCCAGCTTCCTCTTTTTTTCTTACTCCATAGATGCAGATTCTGCCCAAGAAGCCCCTGCATTGCAGAGGGATTGGAGATCTGTATGATCTGTTTATTTCGCAATTGACAAGGGTAAGGGGGCCTTTTTGGGGGAGGCGCTTGGGTGCCCTGAATTTAGCTTTATGAAGCTGAGCTAACATTTATTTTGGTAATACTTAAACCTAGTATTTTTACAGACCCTTTTATGAATTCTGTTTGTCCAACATCAATTAAGTGCCGGATTATATTAAAAAGCATTTATTACAATGATTTTTTTAAAAGTCCTGTTTAGAACAAGTCAGACAAACATGATTCATGCTTCTAAAATTCCAAATCTGGGATCCTTTAGAATATAAATAATATTGAATATATGTAAACAAAATTTCACTACAATGAAAAATTTAAAAGGTCTGTTTCTGTAGCCCGTCACAGTTATTCTTAATTAATCTGCTCTGTTCCTTTTCCATAAATCTTTCAATCTATAGAGTGAAAAAGGGACTTGTGGATATGCCATAAACATTGTGGATGGGCGTGGCGTCTTTTTCTTGTTGCTAGAAATTAATATCTATTTCCTTGAATTCTATGTCCACCCTAGATGCCAGTGAAATTTGAGTTGTATCTTCAGACTGTCCTGTATCTGTTTATTAGTATAGGAGTAAGGTGCATTTGGTGAATCTTACGGGAGCCAAGATAAGTTTTGTAGGTCTCACTTGGCAGGTTTATAGAACAAGTGCCAGAAATGGTGGTATTTATAATCGGATAGAATTAAAATAAGTGAGGAAGAATTTAATACTCTTTTAAAATTACAGAAGCATTGGGCAGAGATGACTGTAGTTTTTATGGATAGTTGAGAAGACTTGACTTGGTGATGGTTTGATGGGCTTCTTTTTATATTCGAAGATACTATTAGTAGTAAAATAGCTTTGTTTACCTAAAGAAGTATTGTACATTTCTGTAATTTAAATAGATATTTTTAGTATTCTGTACCTCATATTTTTAAATGGTTTTCTTTAAACATTAATTTATAGATTTTAAGAATTCAGCAATATTATGTATATTATCCATTCCACTATTAATAAATGTTCCACTTTTTAGTGCCAACACATTGGAAAACTATTTTTATTCTTATATTTCTTAAATGACTTTTTTTTTTTTTTTTTCTGTTTTCTGTTTTCTTTAAGCCATAAGGATGAGTTTACCATTATTCCTGTATTGGTTGGAGCTCTGAGTGAGTCAAAAGAACAGGAATTCGGAAAACTCTTCAGTAAATATCTAGCGGATCCTAGTAATCTCTTTGTGGTTTCTTCTGATTTCTGCCATTGGGGTAAGTTCTAGATTTTAACATTTCATGGTAGATATTATGTACTTGTGGTTAAAGGTATCTTTTCATTCTAAGCTCTGATTTTCAGTTCTTTATCACTTTCCGTGGAAAGTTTTACTTTTAGCAACAGTGTTTAAAGGTGAATAAAAAAAGTCTTTTGGTCATTTAAAAAGGATGAGATTGTAATAGGGGATTATGGATACATTTCCAAAGGCGACTGGTATAATTGGATTCACACTGTGAGGGCATCCTTGCTTAGACACTTAGGTTAGTGGGAGTTAAGGTTTTTTAACCCCATTTCCAGATAGAGTTGTGTGATAGATTCTCTGAAGTTAAATTTTTGGTAGATAAAACAAATGTTCTTTAGACCGTAGAAGAGCACTGTGTGCTATGCAAGTCCTTTTCCACATTTCCTTTTTTGTAAGTAGTCTTTTCTTCTTTCTTTTTTTTCCTTTGGTGCTTAATTTTTGCCCATAGTTGCCAGTTTAGAACTACCCTCCAAAGGTTGTTACATGTTAGCTATTAGCACTGTGGTCTAAATTGGTAATGGTTCATAAGGGTAAGGACTTCTAAGAGATTTTTGTTATTATTGTGAATTAAAACAATAAGGAAGCTTCACAGTGAATAGATCATAAAGGAAGTGAGACATTTATGGATGCCTTGTTTAGTAAATTTTGTGTTTTGAATTCTTTGGATACAATTTGTTCTCATTTATCCATTACTGTTGTAGAATATTTCTGAATCCTGTTCCTTTTAGGACATCTCTTTGACTCATTTATTTTAATGGTTTAAGGATGCCATTATCTGTTCATTCTTTAGTTATTTCTTTGATTATAGTAAAGACATAAGGCACAACACCATAAATTTTCAGATAAAGAATGGCCAGAAAAACATCCTTAATGAGATATAGGGAGCCCTGGCTTTTACATGTCTTATCATTGATTGCTGGAGTTTATTCAACATTTATCAGGCCTGGATAGGCTGGTTTCTTCTTCTCTTACCTCATGCTGCACTATGCATGGCCTTGAGATTTCGGTTCAAGAGAACCATCCTCCCTAATGGTCTAGATAAGTATCTCTGTTTAAGTCACTGATTTCTCAGCTGGGGCTGCCTGTCCCCCCAGGAGACATTTGGAAATGCCTAGAGACATTTTTGGTCATCACAGCTGGGGTGGGGAAGGAGATGGGGATGCTATTGGCATCTAAGGAGTAGAGTCCAGGAAAGCTGTTAAATAAACATCCTACAATGCACGGGACAGCCCCCCACATCAAAGCATTATCCTGCCCCAAATGTTGATAGTGCTCAGGTTGGAAGCCCTGGATTAGGGTATGCATGTAGCTCTGCTACCTTGTCAAACTCATTAAGAGGCTCTCAGGGTTCTTTAATAATGAATTCTATTTGCTAGCTGGTTTGCTACCTTTGGCAGAAGTTATTTTTTATGGATATAAGTATATTACTTAGATCTGAGTAGGTAGATGCTTGAAAGAGTTCTTTTCTTGGGAACTTTGAAGTTTGGTAATAAAACTAGGGAGTATCATTATTGAAAAAAAAGGCTATTTTACTTAGTGTTATGAATTTGTGTTGATAATAAAGCATGTTTTAGTAATTAAAAGTTCCTGAAGCATGTGTTCCCTCCCTCTTCACTTTTAATTAAGGCTCTTATGAATCATTTAAAATCACTTTTATGATTTGAATAACTCACTCCCCTGATAGTGTTCTTCAGGGCCCTCCCTCAAGTTTGGCAGCACGTACAACCACAGCACAAATCCACATAAAACATGAGTAGATGTTTTAATATTGCTCTTTTATGTGGACTCATCCTTTTTACCTCATTGATGATTATAAAGCAAATCCTAAGCCACTACTATACTTAAGTAGAATGTTGAGAGAGAAAGATGAATTTTGTCTTATATTCTATCTAGGTCCTCAGAAAATTATTTAGGCCATTTGATCTCCTGATTTCTTGAAAATTTTGGAATTTAAATTGCAAGATAGAATTTTTTGGTGATAATTACAAAAAAGAACTCAAAATTTCCAGAGGTTGATAAATGTTAGCTATGGGAATCATCTAGAGACTAAAACATATTTATATTTACATTTGGTGATTAAGTAATGGAACTTTTTCAAGTGTTTATTTTTTCAGTATCACTATCACTAACAATACTCATTAAGTGCTTACTTTGTACTTATGGAAAGCACTGTACTAATTCTTGTTAGGAAATTTGATGGAGGTTTGGGAGTAAGTGGAAAGAGTTACATGGACACTATTCCAAAATTGGTAGACTTCTTTCTACAATAGTAATAGTAACTGTCATTCTTGTAAAATAAGCTTCATTTTCTATTTTATATGCCTGTTGAAATAATATGAATCATTGGCTAGTTATGGGTTAAACTGTGGTTACTTAGAAATTGTTTCATATTTTTCAAATTCATGCTTTAGTGGCATTGGTCATCTTTCCTAAATTAATGAGGGGTATATTTCCATCTCAAAAGTCTAGCTTTTTCTCATGACAATAATACTTAGTAGTTTGTTCTTGTTTTAAAGATGCTGTGCAGATTGATCTTACCATACTAAATAATGATGACACTGAATTCTAAGTCATTTCACAGGAAGGATTCATTTCCTCAAGTACTCCGAGATCTTAGAAGTTTCATTGAGTTAGGCTCTTAACACACTCCACATTTCTGAATAGCTGGTTTTTGAAGAAAAATCACTTAATTGATTATGGTACAGTTGATCAATTACTCACATATATACAGTGGAATTTTTTTGTTTTTGTTGAACAATAGAGTACTGGCAGTGACGACATCTTTCATCTCTAGTGGTCATTTCTCTTTATATAATATAATGTCCAGCTTCTGTGGAAAATAAAATGAGAAACTTGATAAACTTGATGATAGAGACAGTTAGGAGACCTATATGTGTGTAACTGGAAGGATTTTGCCTTTGTCAGCCTTATTTGTTAGCCAATGTCCATTATAAGAGTGACTTTTTTTTTAAGGGTATTTTACTTTAAAGATGTTCATCTTTCAGATACCATTTAGCTCTTATTTAGACTTGAAAGATATATTAGAGAAAAAATAGAAAGATTAAAATACTCTCAATTTTTCTTTTTGGGTGACAGAAGCAAAGGGAGAGTTGGGAACCTAGATTCTGTTGTGCCCTGTCTTTCTATCCCCTCACTTGAATCACCCCACCAACCCCCTGCGTTTCAATTCCTGCGTTTTATTTGATCATTAGGGAGTCCAATAGGATGATGTTTCCCTGGTAATGTTTTAATGATCCCACCTCTTTTCACCTTTCCTACTACTACCAGGAAGAGTGGCATACATTTGCTGCTAGTATTTGACTTTTACCATGGTGAAGTAATGTTGTCCCCATACTTTGTGTACTTACCAAGTTCCACATCCTAGAGGATGGCTCCATGTAAGAGGATTTTGTCTGGGCCTATTTTAGTTTTTCTAGTTAGTAGAATTTTTATTCTATTTTCCTGAGTTTCATTTTTGCTCTTTTCCGTATATACTGTTAATATTTGTGTTTTCCTGATCACCCTGAACTTTATACTTCCAAATTTAGATTACTGACAACTTTCATTAACATAACTTTCAGTTAACTTCTAAGAAGTTTCTGAATGAAACTGGACCTAACAGAAATTGATTCTTTAAAAGTGGGTTCATGCTTCTATTTAATTTTCTTTTTAAATGGTAGTTTTAAGTTCAAATCAGTTTCAATAAATTTATTTGGTAGATGTTAATGATAAATTATATTATTTTGTTAAAATATGAATAGAGTTTACACTACAGTCACTTCAGCAGTTTTGGATTTTTATCTATAAACTTATATTTGTCTAGGTTTACGTAATTTCTTTTTTATAAATATGTGCCACTTATTAAAATTGGCATTCTCCTTCAATGTTTATGAAATTTGTATCTTTATTCAGAATTCTAGTTTAATGTATATTAACACGTGATTATTCATGCATACTCTTCTTTCTGTTGTTAGTCTCTTGGGTCTGAGGGTATTACTATTTTCTAAATATTTAAATTGGTTTGAGTGTAAGTTAGCTAATTCCTGAAATATATCTTATTCAGGCTTTCACATTTGTCTTCTCAAATACTGGTACATACTGATTTCACATATTTAGGGTTTTAATCTTTTACAAGTTTGAGATCAAGCCAATAATTTTACATTATACCTAAGATTTCAGAATGAAAGGACTATAGTATTTTGCTTATAAAAATGATTACCTTATTTGAGATACTTAGATAATATTTTCTTTGTGAAGTACATTTTTTCTTTGGTAGTGACGTCAATTATGAGTGTCCCCAGTTTAGGTCCTTAGTGTACTGTGGTTTAATAGTCTATCTCACAGGTTGTTGTGAGGTTTAACTCAAATATTTGAAAACGTTTTAACATATAAACATAAAGTGGTTAAGTAAATGTATAACAGTACAGTTTTTACTGGACATAAGTCTGGTAGTCTGTCTTACTGACTGATCTTTTGGGGGCTTTATTGAACAACTTTCCAAGCTCATGTTTATTTCTGCAATCTAGTGTATAGCTTAATGTTGAGGTATTTAATATTTTTTTTACTTTTTGTTTTGAGGTAATTCAAAAGTAGTGTTGGTTCTTGTACCATTCATTGTTATGTTTGTCCTCATTAGTTGATTGTTGTGTGTTAAACAGACATCCCTGGAGCTTATTCTCCACACTCTGTGAATCCACTCATTAATCACCAGTCACCTTTGGAGATGGGAAAATTACTTACCTGTATTTCTTTTTCTCAGAAAGCGTGCTCTGGAATGGATTCACAAATGAGCTACCCTCCTTCCCTCAAAGAGTAAGGTTTCTGCTTTACAGGATTTTTTTCTTGGGTTATTTTTCCTCTCATCTTTTGAATTTGAAAAGAACTGAGGGAAGGCACCTGAAGAAACTACTGACATACTCACTAGGGGAGTTCCAAAGCTTGTGCTGCCCCTAGGGGCAGTGTCAATGGCTCTTAAAGCTAGAAAGCTCATACTTGGAGTTGAAACAGGGGCTCAAAGAATCCATTTTCCCAGTGTACCTTCTGAAAGGATAAGTTTCAGGTAAGTAATTTTCTCTTACTATGTGATATGCTTTATTCATACTTATATAAAAGTTCACAAGTCCAGTTCTCCAGGCACATAGGCAACTATATTTGTTCAATTTAGACGCATAAACTTAACTGAATGTTAGAAATATTGTAAAACAAAACTCATGAGGTACATGAAATCATAATATATTTTAAATGAACCATAAATACTTAAAATTGCATTTATGATCAGCGTATTGCACTAGGATTATCTTTTTTTATTTCTTGTTAAATAAAATTTTGACAAACTTTATTTTTTAATAATTAGAAACAAAAAAATCTTTTGAACTCAAATTCCAAGTAGTATTTAACTGAACTTGTATGTGTGTGTACTCATGTGCACACACACATATATTCATACATATGTATGTATATACATTTAGGCTAGGATGATGGCAACTATTTACTTCAAATTAGATGCTTTCTTTAAGTATATTGACCAGAATGTAGTAATTTTGAAAAGTAATTTTGAAATGTTTGTATAATTAAAAACAATGATCGTAAGACAATTTGAGCTATCATAAGTAGGATACTTTTTTCAGTGTAGTAGCTTAGTAGTGTAAATTTAGCTTCTTAACCGATAAATCCTTTAACACTTATCAAGTATTTCTACTCAGTTCTTCAGCTACTAAATGGGAGGTGGCTACTAAAGAGTAGCAAAAAGTAGATAGCAAAATATTAAACATTTGCTCATTGATTTTCTGTGTATATTTTCATTCTTATTAAATCACATGTTGATTTAGTATTTTAACCTACTTTAAACATTCTATGTACTTCTCTCTTACTTCAGAAGTAGTTTTTAAGTAAAAGTTACATTGAAAATGGTCCATATGAACAATACCGAGTTTTAAAATATAGTTACACTTCTGACTTACGATTAAGGCAGGTTTGACCAACTTCAGCGTTTGAAACAGCGGCTCTGAACTTGGAAATAAATAGAAAGGACTTTCGAATAGTAAATGTCACAAAGTACATGCATTTTTCTTTACACCTGAGAGTAGCAGTCTTGAGATAAGACAATTATGTCCCAGTCACAGGGATTATTGACAACTAAAACTGACAGTTAGCACCAGAAGCAAGAAAAAGAGAATGTGTTAGTATAAACCTGAAGCAGCTCGGGTTCAAAGAATATTCATCTTGATTTCATCCAAGGATATTACTCTTATTACAGTGACAGTGAGTTAGAATTTTCTTGTCTAAGATTATTCTTTTAATTGTTTATTCATTTCACAGAAGATTTGGGGCAGCTTCATCAAAAGAACTTTGAAACAGAAGTAGAAATTTAGTACCAATGAATTGAATCACTAAGTTATTATGACAGACATTATATTTGGCTTTGAATCTTCTGGCAGCCAGCTGGCGAATAGGAAAAATAGGGTGAATTATATAGTTCCTGTTGTTAGCTAGGAGGAAGTACATATATTCTTTAAAGAAAAACAAAGCTATACTTAACTCTAAATTTTGTAAGAAATGGCTGATGAATTATTTAATATAGGGGTACTCAGTGATAGAATTGTCGCTGTTTAAGAATTTTTTTAGTGCAAGGACTGTAATGAATCTGATAGTTATAGCAACATGCAGTAATCTCCAGTGTTTACCAGAAAAGGTTGTTATATTCAGAATGCAGGTAATTGTCTCAGAACCCTATTGCTTGATTATAGGATATCATGAATTTTAAGATGAAATATTTATTTAATAGTGACGCTGGGCAGGGGGTGCAGGGAAATAAGAACTGCCACATTGAGTAGCTGTGCATGTTAATGTATGTGAAAAGTTAATATGTGAAAGTTAAGGAAATATGGTATATTGTAGAAAGGTGACCATCAGAGATGATTAGCATCAACAAGTTAATGAAATGTTAAGAACTGTGATGTGTAGTTTCTCTAAAAAAGACATCAAAAGGGTGTTATAATTTTACATGTCTCATTATTTATAAGGTGATTTTTTTAGTGAGATAAACAGAAAACTTAAAAATCATAATTATCCAGCCAAAGAAACCCGCCTCCTCAGATGGGAGGATAATAATTGGATATGTGAACTTCGCTGTAAAATTGAAGCACAAGATGCATAGTATGTGTGTGTATGATTAGTGTACTCTGATACCTTCAAAATTGCGTTTTGGTGAATCTTTAAAAATAAAGAATATAAAAGTAATGAGTTCTTGGAAATAAAGGCATTGCTGAAAAATAGGTTTAGATATATCTGAAATACAACATAATCAGTTGAATAATAATATGTAATTAATTATGAATATGTTTAACTTTTGGCTTTTCTTTGACTATAGTAGGAAGCAAATTTTATTTCCTGAGCCTTTTGTTTTCTACCTTCTTTTTAAACTTCTTCCATTTTACCCTCTCTGTTCTTTGGAGAATAGCTAAACATTGAATGTCCTGTGCTTGTACCTTTGTTGAGATTTTATTGTCAGAGTAGGACTATTTGTTATATTTATACTTCTGTGTATCCTACTTAAAGGCACTTGTATTGATCCTTTTCCAAGTAGAAAATTTTGCAAAAATGAGATAAATTTTTAAAATCTAGGTCATAAAAATTATACAAGCCACATATATCTCTGACCTTTTTTTCTTTCTTTTCTGTAGTAGAGATTAAATCTTTGCATTTGTACAACAAAAGCTAAGCTTTCATTGATTTGTTAAATTGAGATAGTTTCCTTAAGCCAGATTTTCTTGAATCATATTCTTGGCGTTTACTTTCCATTATAGACCGATATAATATGTTTAACAATGCTTCTAACTTTTAAACTGTTTGTTTCCATAGTCTTTTGTATTGCTCGTGACTTTAAGGTTTTACAGTTTGAAATAGTTTTTAACATCATGAAACACTGGTGATATATCATTTCTTTATTACCTTCCCAAATATGCCTTTTATTTTTATGTACAAGGGCTCTTGGGAATGATTCTCTCAGAGGCTTAAGCTGTGCTTTGCCTTCCATGAGAACTGAAATTATTTGGTAAGCGCTTGCTTTCTTTTTAGCTTCTAATTTTTCCCTATTTTATTTTGTACATGATATTTGTTTCAAGGTCAAAGGTTCCGTTACAGTTACTATGATGAATCCCAGGGGGAGATTTATAGATCCATTGAACATCTAGATAAAATGGTAAGTCCTTCAGGTGTGGGGTTTTACTGCTCTAAGATTTTTTCTTTAATTTCAGATTAGTGATTCAAGACTTAATATGTTAAAATATACAATGGGCTAATAATTCTTTCCCTATCTTTAACTAAATGTGCAATATATATTTTGTAGTCATGTGATACTGATTATAAAAATAATCCCTGTTCTATTAGTAGAAATTTCCTTCATCTTAATTTTATTTGATTAATTACACCTTGAATAATTAGATACAGATTTTTAGATACTATTTGGGGAATGTCTTAGTTTTAGGGACAATGGGATACTAATTCCATTACTTACTGTTAAGCAGAAACAACCATAGCAAATTCTAAGTTTATTTTATTATTTAGTTATATTTTTTGGCCATTTGGGTTTTTATTAAATGGAATTTTAATTTGTTTTAAATTAGAATTTTAAAGCATTATTGTATTCTTAACTAGTCCAGGAGTTGAATCTAGCAGATATATCACTAATTCTCTCTGACCTTCAATAGATCGTTTCAATTTTCTAGTCTTCAATTTGTCATCTCTAAGATGAGAGACTTGGAGAGGCTTGGTCTCTAAATTGTCTTTAAACTCCACCAGGCTTTAAGTCTGTAATCTGTTAAAGTTAAAGTCAACTTTATCAGTGTGTGAAAAGCTTTATGTATATGTTTTAGTATAAAAATATTTAGTCTAAAGTAGATAAAACATTTTACTAAGGAATCTGGATCTGAAACTATAAGTAGATTATATTGAGTAGTATTATTTTATTAAAAGTCAAATGGAATGAATGCAGTTACTTAGAAGATTTTATCATACAAAATAGTTACTTAGGAGATTTTATCATATTTAAATTTATTCTGTTACTTTAAATCCAATTATGGCCTAATGCTTTTACCTTTGGAATTTTGTTTGGATTTTAATTCACTGACTTCTGTTTTTTTTTTGGCTTTATTATGTTGCCATTTCAGTCAGTTAATTCTTTTCTGGCTATTATTCTAATCTTATTTTTCTGAGGTTTAGTTCTTAGTTGCCTCAGAAAACTTTCTGGTTCTATATCATTTATTTTCTTCATATAGCAAATGGTTAATGAGTATCCACTGTGTGTCTGGTACTATGTGAAGTATTGAAGATACTAAGAAGAGAAAACATGATCTCCCATTTAATGGATCTTACAGTCTAATCATCGAACAGATTTAGAAAGAAGCTGTTACAATATAGAGATATAAGATATTTATGAGGCAGTGTGGAAACACGGGTCTCCTTACTATTTCTTGATAATGCCATATGTGTGCCTAGCTTAGGGCTTTTGCCCTCTTTGCACTGGACTGTCTCACTTACTTTATGGCTTTGCTCCGTTTTCACCTTCCCAATGAGGCCTACTGACCACCGTATTTTTTTTTTTTTCGGTACGCGGGCCTCTCACTGTTGTGGCCTCTCCCGTTGCAGAGCACAGGCTCTGGATGCGCAGGCTCAGCGGCCATGGCTCACGGGCCCAGCCGCTCCGCGGCATGTGGGATCTTCCCAGACCGGGGCACGAACTCGTGTCCCCTGAATCGGCAGGCGGACTCTCAACCACTACGCCACCAGGGAAGCCCTGACCACCGTATTTAATTTGACATCTTACACTCCACCCTTTCAGCATTCCCAGTCCACCTTACCGAGTTCCACTTTTTCTTCTAAGAAACTGAATATTTTACTTATTTATTATATAAGGATATTTGTTTTGTTCACTAATGTATCCAAGTGCTTAGAATAGCAATTGGAACATAAGTAGGTGCTCAACAAATATTTTTCAAATGAATGAATTGGTGACTATAATCTTCCTATATACATAATTGAGTTAAATGAATACCCTAAGTGTACTCTGAGAAAGAAATAAAAGGAAAGTAATTTATAATATATTAATATATATTTAATGATGTAAATGCTCAGGCACCAACTGTACTAAAAGAGACAATGAAGTAGTTAGATGCTTACACATAGTATCATTAATATAACAGCCACATACAAACAGTTGTTTATATTTGTCTTACGTTTACCAAGTTACGTTGGTGGGTGACTTGATTTTCCAAAATGGTGAACATTTCTTAGCAACACTGTAAACTAAACAAAGTACAGTCTTCCCTCACTTTATATGATAGTTTGTTCCTGGGAAATCGATTGTATATTAAAATCATGCAAAACTTCTTTGTGTTTGTATGTAAAATGGCGTTAGAGTGTAGATAATTATAAGCAGGTTTTTCGCATACATGGACATGTGAAAGTGTTATAGGATGAGAACAGTTCTTTCTGTGTGGGACTGTCCTGTATTGCAGGACAGTCAGCATCCCTGGATTCCACCTACCAAATCCCCTGACAGTATCTTCTAGTTATTGGCACAACCCAGAAATGTGCCCACAATTTTCCATTATGCCCCTGTGGTGAACAGTTATTCTGTGACCTTACCCTGCTTTATTTTTCTTCTTAGTACTTATTACTATGTGACTTATTATTTGTTGATTTGTTGATGAAAACTTGCCCTATTAGATTACAAGCTTCGTGAGATCAGGATCTTTGTCCATTTTGTATCAGCCTGTTTGTGGTACTCAGTATATGTATTTGTTAAATTAATGGATGAGTGGATGGGAGAGTAGTGAGAAATTAGGCTAGAGAATCTAGAACAGGCTGTTTAAAGGATATCTAATAGGAAAGTGATAAAATCAGATTGTATGTGAATAGATCGTATAGTTGCAGTGCAGCAAATGGGTTGGAGGGATGCCAGAGGAGAAATGAGTAGACTAGTTTGATAATCCAAGTGAGACATGGTAATTTAGACAGTGGATGGGTTGGTGATGGTGGAAGAGAGGGATAGAGTGGATGTATCCAGTATATTTTAGAGACAAATTGATGATAGAACTTGGAGATCAATTGAACTTGGAGGGGAAGGAAATATCAAGGATAATTCCTTCTAAAAAATAACAACAAACTAGTGAATATAACAAAAAAGAAGCAGACTCACAGATTTAGAGAACAAACTAGTGGGTACCAGTGGGGAGGGGGGGAGGGGCAACATGGAGGTGAGGGAGTGGGAGGTACAAACTATTGAGTGTAAGATAGGCTACAAGGATGTATCATACAACATGGGGAGTAAAGCCAGTATTTTGTAATAATTGTAAATGGAATGTAACCTTTAACAATTTATAAAAAATAAAAAAGTAAAAAAAGGATGTTTCCTAAATATCTGGCTTATGCTGCTGGTTAAGTCTTGGTTCTGTTCTCTTAAGTCGGAAGCACAAGAAGATAGGACTAGATTTTTTACGAGGTAGGGTGATCATAAATTGTATTAGGATATGTTATATTTGCTATTGCTTTTAAGGCATCCAAGTGGAGATGTCAACCAAGTAGGCATTTGGATTTTCTTTTCACCAGTTTTTTGGTTTTTTTTTTGCGGTACGCGGGCCTCTCACTGTTGTGGCCTCTCCCGTTGCAGAGCGCAGGCTCTGGACGCGCAGGCTCAGCGGCCATGGCTCACGGGCCCAGCCGCTCCGCGGCACGTGGGATCTTCCCGGACCGGGGCACGAACCCGTGTCCCCTGCATCGGCAGGGGGACTCTCAACCACTGCGCCACCAGAGAAGCCCTCACCAGTTATTTTTGAGTGCACTTACAGTTCTAGGCACTGGTGGAGATATGGCAGTAAACAAGCCAACTTGCTCTCACGGACATTTTATTCTAATGGGAGGAGATACATTTTTTTTTTTTAAGTTAAGGATATTGTATATAAGTTTCTAATAGTGATGTGTGCTATGCAGAAAATATTAAAAGGGTTTTTAAACAGTATATAATTCTAGGCTGCTTTAGATTGAATGATTGGAGAAAGACTTCCTGAGAAGGAATATTAAATTGAGATATAAATAAGAAGGAGCAAACCAAGTGAAGATTAGAGGGAAGAGCATTCTAGACAGAACTGCCATTGCAAAAACTTTATGATGGGAAAGAGGCTAGTGTGTTAGAAGAATGGGAAAAAGGTCAGCGTTGTAGGAATATAGTAGATAGGGGTTAGAGTGAGTGACACAGCTCTGGTAAGAGAGGTGGGCAGGGATCAGATAATGTAGGGCTTTATAGTCCAGGGTAAGAAATTTATGTGAATACAGTGGGAAGTGAAATGATGTAGTAATGAAATAATTATTTTAAAAGTCGGTCTGGCGGTTGTGTAGAGAAGAGATTCTACAAGAGGGTCAGGAATAGTAACAGTGGGCATTGGCAGGAGTTTAGGGGAGAGAAGATAGTAATTTGGACTGGGGTGGTAGTAGTGGAGATAGAAAGAAGTTCATAGATTTGAGTTCTTGTATTCAACAGGGCTTTGCTAATGGATTGACTATATTGGTTTGGAGCTCAGAGAAGAGGTCTGGAGTAAGTTTGGGCATTCTCAACATGTAGATGGTAATCAAAGCCAGGGCAGAGATAAGGTTGTCTACTATAGTAATCCTCAACCCCATCTTTACAACTGAAATCACTTGTGGAACTTTTTCAAAATAGACCTGCCCATACCCACCCCTGGATATCCACTTTCAGTAATATGGAGAGAGTCCCAACAACTTTATTCCAGAATAGCTTCGTAGGTGAGTTTGAGCTAGCCTATTATGGCCCCTGATCTGTTGAAGTAGAAGAAAATTTCCTATTCATCTTCTTTCCCTTTGTTTTCTACTCAGCTCTTTAAATCATTTGTAAACTTTAATCAGGCAACATTTAATTTTGCAAATGTAAGAATTTGTAAATCAGTGAATTATTGAGTATTTGCTTCATATTAATATGCTTGAATTTAGTATTTGATGTAACATTTGACTTGAACTTGATTTTTGTGGTCCGTTTATTGAAACATTTCTATTTATATATAGAATTTTTTTATAATATATAGAATTTTTAAAGGGGTCTAAAATGGTCTGTTCTTTTATTAGCATGCTATTAATTCAAGTTATAAGTCCATTCTGGGAGTTAGAATAAATGGATTAAAATAATAAGCATGGTTAGGTCTGTACATATACTCATGTATATATGGTTTTATACATGTATGAGTATATGTACACTCACTATTAGGCAGACTCTTATACAATGTGTTTTCTTAATTGGTTTATATAACCAAATGGTGAATATCCCACTGTATATTGCTTTTCACAAGTGTCATTTTATGTTGTAAATAATTTCTTTCATTTCAGAATTAATATCTTAGTTGCTATATACAATCTTTTCAGAGCAAAATATAGTAGGATGCTTCTCTGTACAAGTATTGCAAAAATGTTAGCAATTGTGAATTGTAATTATACGTTTGGAAAGTTTGATAGAGTGAAAAGATTATTTTTAAGTATAAAATTTTAGATTTAATTTTTAAAAATTATTATGTTAATTAAGTTTTGGTCCCTTTTTTGTTATCAGAAAAGCCTTATTAAATATAGTTATTAAAATGCTAGAAAATAATTGAAAGTTTTTAGTTTCCAAAAGAAAAACTGCTAATTCTTTTTTTTTTTTTTTTGGCAAAAATTTTATGTCCAGCATTTGAATATCTTGGAAGTTAATTATGTGAAGAAAACGCATAAGGAAGGAAGAATGAATTGGAAAACAAACAATCTTCCAAATGTTGTATTTGGGAGAAAATAACTAGTTATAAGAGATATAGATTCTGAAAGTCTTAGAATATTACTGACTACTGACCATGTTTTTTGGAAATTAGTACTTTGCAATTTCAGTAATTATAGTGACCAAAGCAGAACATATTTTAAGATGTTGATTTTTGTGAACCTTTTAGATTACATACTGGAAACATTAGCCACATTTATACATATTTTATATATATTACATGACCACAGGTTATTTTTTCCGTACTACTTTTGATATAGACCAGTGTTTCCTTATGGCTATTGGCATACTATTTATGATTTCAGAGAGAATCTGAAAATGTCATTGTAGTCAGCTTTGTAACTTCTTTTCCTTCCAAATTTACTAGTAGTCACTTTGTTTACTTTGAACTTCAACTTCTTTTCTTCCTTTTACTCTTCTGAAAGTGAAATTGTTCATGTTTGTCCACTCGTACTTCTTTCTCTTGAACTTAGGCCAGTAGTTTAGTTTCTTTAGTAGTCTTTAGTCGGTTTTACAGCATCATCTTTAAGGTAGCTATTTATTAGTACACTGGTTCTTAGAACTGCTATATTTAGGGTGATTTCTTTTTTCCATAAAATTTCTTTCTAATGAAGATTTTATCTTGATACCTCTTAAAGAAACTAGAATATTTCCTTTTCCTACCTCATCTTCCTAAATGTGTACCCATCTCTTCAACATAAATGTGTATCCTTATTTTAAAAAATAAGGCCACAGTCCTAATGATTTGATAATATGGTTTTAATTATCTGTTAATAATTGATAGACATGATTCTAGTTCTTATTTCTCAAAGACTTCTAAAAATGTTTTGCTACTCTTTTGTGTGTGTTACTTTAGATTACATCTAGGTGATAGTATTTAAAATTAAATTTAAATTAAATAATTTGTTATATATAGATAAACTTTGAAGACCTTTGTTGTCTTATTAGAGTCTTGAATTTGCAGCTCTGTTAAATAGGCAGTTAAAACTGCCTATTAGGTTTGGGATTACCATTTAGGATTTGACAATACAAGCTTTCACTCATTACTTGGAGAGAGTCAGCACAATGATAGATTCCCTCCGCCCTTCTTCCCCTCAAGGTAGGGAGTTAGCTTTCAGTCTGAGAATTTCTTGCTGAAACTGTTAACAAATTCCTCAGAAACCCGTACTGTGATGGATAGGCTGTTGGTGTTTATAATGTCTGTTTGTATCTTAGAGCTGAATGGGTAGTGACCCACTTCACTGCTTCATATTAGAGTAAGTTCATGTGAACAAACTCTCAATATACCAGGCCCTAGGCAAGCTTTCTATCACCTGGACTTTAGATTTACTGATCATATCTTCCAGTATGTTAAGAAATCAAAAAGTTCTTTAGGCGTATTTGGGAAGCATTTTTGTTTTTCATCTTTTTGGAATTTGTGCAGTAGTATCAAACTAGCATTATCTTCTTGGAATTTTGGTAATAGTAATTTCAAAATTGTTTGCATCAAAACATAAATATATACAAAAGCTTATTTGTCAGTGTTCTGTGTTAGTTAATGGGTGTCCCAGTTTGCAGTTTTACTAATCATTTTTGCTGTTGTTTGCAAACTTCATGAATTTTCCATTTGGAGAGGTTCACTCATGAGAAGTGCCTTAATTTTTCTCTCTATCCCTCCTTTATAAAAAGGCATACCTCTTTTTTTATATATAAATTTTTTTTTTTACTTTTGGCTGCATTGGGTCTTTGTTGCGGTGCACGGGCTTCTCATTGCAGTGGTTTCTCTTGTTGAGGAGCACGGGCTTTAGGCGCGTGGGCTTCAGTAGTTGTGGCACGTGGGCTCAGTTGTTGTGGCTCGCAGGCTCTAGAGTGCAGGCTCAGTAGTTGTGGCACACGGGCTTAGTTGCTCCACGGCATGTGGGATCTTCCCGGACCAGGGCTCGAACCTGTGTCCCCTGCATTGGCAGGTGGATTCTTAACCACTGCACCACCAGGGAAGTCCCAAAAAGGCATACCTCTTAACTGTCATATTTGTCAGAGAATTGAGTATAATGGAATTGATTCTTGCCCTGGTAGGTACATAGCACACTTCAGGAAATTAAAATTTTAAATGTAATACCTTAACTTCCATCACCTGAATTTTTTACTTTCTGTGTTGTAATTTAACCATTATATCTTCATTTTTAACACTTTATTTACACTTCTCTACATTTATAATTCTATATTTTCTGTGTGAAATTTCTTGGCCAGTTACTTTTAATTCTTTCTCTTCTACAAATGTGATCATTAGTTTTCTTCTCTTTGAATTACTCATGTTAATATATATAAATGTGATGTTTGTTCACAATGTGCTTTGAGATTTTAGTATATACATTTGAACTTCAGTGTTACATGATTTATTAATAAGTGGAATTCTATTTAAGGTAAGCTGTCCTAGACTTCACCCAGGAGCATTGAAAGTTCTTTTATAATATGTATACCAATTGTACCTATGTGAGAGTATTAAAGAATTGTTGGTATGTCTCTTGTTATTCTATATGAAGCAGAGTAAGTCAATGAGAAGCCTAGGATTAGAAATCCAATAGCCTAGGATTAGAAATTTGAGACAAGCTTTTAACCTTTTTTATGCCTTAGTTTCTTCATCTTTAGGGAGTTCTACCTTGATTATGCATATTTATGGAAGAGATTTGTAACCCCATCTCTGCATTACTACTTGGTTTAGAAATATGAGTGATTTCTACGTACCAGAATTATAATACTAATTGTTTATCTTAGGTTTAACTTTTAAATTAGTTCATATTTCACTCGGTTTGCACCAAATGTCAGTGGAGAATGGTGACCTGTAAGCCTCCTAGTTGACAGGGGAAAACCAACTTAGCCTTAAACACTGGTTGTGGATAAATCTGAGAGTGGCTGATTGATGTGCAAGCAATTGAAAGTTGACTATACACACATACGCTTATCTTTCAGATATATTTGTAGAAAAATATGATAATGTTTATGAAAGACTTGGATATTCTGAAGAAAGATTCTTTATAAAATTAAATTTTGATTTACATACTGCCATTGCAATATTTGTACTGTGTTACCTACTGATGGCTATCATTTTTCAGTTGAGTGTTCATCTGATTACTCTAGGTGATTTTACACTGTGCTTGTTAAAACATGTTGAAATATAATTAAAAAAACACAAAAATGTATCAGTTAATTCCTAAGTTAAACCACCATTTACATTTTTCCCAGAGGATATTAATCCAGTTTATTAAACACAAATGTAAAGTATTTCACCTGAATAAGAAAACAAGGTAAGGTAGTTGGTGAATGGATGAGTTAGAATCATTGATTTATTTGCTTGATTCAGATGAGTTAAAGTTGCTCTGTATTGATGTATTTTGAGCACATTATTTTGAATGCCTTTGCAGAATACAGAATTAAGTATAAACAAGTGTCCAAATGATAGTTATTGTTTCAATAGTAGTCTAAAAATTTTGATTCTCAATTAAAATCTTGAAAGCAAAGCTTTCTAGTTTAAGAGATAAAGAACTTTTATTTTTTCAACTTATTTGTAAAGACCCATTTTGCTTAAGCTTTTATCAGTCTTTTATGAGCTTTAAATTGATTAAAATACATTAACTATTTTCTTAGTTTGTGGACTCTTTTTATCACATACCTAAATACTGATAATTCAAAATGCCTTACACACTGTTGATGTTTAAGTATATGTTATGGAAAAAGATAAATTATAATCAGCTCTTGATTATTTATACCAGTGGTATGAGAAATATAATGGACATTGGAAAAACAGCCATATATTAAATTTAATTTTAGATTTTGTGTGAAAATTTTCACAACAGGTTTACTTGTGTAAATATTATATATGAAAAACATAAAATCATGAAATGTTTGAGGATTTGTGAGCTGAGTGACAACTGGGGAAGGTGGTGTAGAAACATACCAGGAGGTCAGAGAAAACTGGAGATTAAATGTTTCAGTATGTTTAATATACATACTTAATAAAGTATGTATATTATTGAGAGTTGACTATAATGAGATTATCTTGGATGAATGAATTTGATATTTCACAGAGTTTAATGTTTAATGTATTTTCTTTACTTCTCCTTAATTGAAAAATTATGATTGTTAGCTCTAAGTAACAGTTTTAAAATATAATTAGGAAATAATAAATTATCTTATTTTCTTTTTCTTTCATTCTTTTTTTTCTCTTCTTCTTTTTTTTTAGGGTATGAGTATTATAGAACAATTAGACCCTGTATCTTTTAGCAATTACTTGAAGAAATACCATAATACTATATGTGGAAGACATCCCATTGGGGTGTTATTAAATGTGAGTACCCTTAGGAAGCCTTGATTTTTTAACATTTGATCCTATTATGTTTCAAAATGTCTTAATTGTTATCATCTGTCACACCTTATTAGCTTTGGTTTTAGATATATAGTCAATTTTCTTTCTAGTTCCTTTAAGATAATTTAAATTTCCATTGTTTTGGTTACTTAAATAAAATTATACATCACTGTATGACAGGTCAATACTTTCTTTTAAATACAGAAAGTTATTTAGAAGAGAAACCCATTTTTTCCTCTTGACTCTGAGCCAATTCCAATATGCTCTTTACAAATATAAACCAAAGTAACGTCTCAAGAAATATGGTCTTACTAATTTTTTCGTTTTATTTAGTGTTCTTGACTTTATAAAAAATAAATGGAAGATTCTGCTCTTGAGTTTTAGATATTCATAATTTAATAAAGCAAGGCAGATGACATGTATATGTTTTTCTACTTATAACAAAAACAATATTTCATTTAAAGACTGGTAAAGAGGCAGAAGTTTTGGTTAGCTGGATTTTCTAAAGAGATAAAGCATTAATTTTTTTCCTAATAAAACTGAAATTGAAAGAAAATGAGAGACTCAAAAAGAAGACAGTGTACACTCAGGAATAGTTAGAGGAAGTAATAATGGGCTCATTGTTTGGAGAGGCAGAGAAATACTGGAGTTGGTAATGTAGTCTAGAATAGTCTAGGGTAGGAACCTAAAGGTCTAGCATTACTTTACTGTGATTTGAAAAATAGTACATTGTGGATTTTTAGGAAAGGCCTTCTCTTAAGCAGTGTTGATTGACTGGGAGAAAAGCCTGTTAAGGGCTTAAATTGATTTATGAAATTTAAACTAGAATAAGCTATACTAATTTACCAAAGTTTGAATTGGGTCAAATAAAACTTCAGTAAAATAAATGATGAGCCAATTCACAATTAAAGTAAAAACCCTGGTATACCTCTTAGATTTGGTACTCAATTTATATACATTTAAAATTTCAGACAAAGAAAAGACTCCAACATTTCAAGACGAAAGTGGCCAAGGTTTGTTTGGTTTAGAGAATAGAAAGAAAGATACTGTGATTTTTTAAATTTTTTATTTATTTATTTTTTAAAGTACCTTATTAAATACAGGGAGAGGTAGAGTGGAAGATGACTGATATTTATCAAGAAGCTAGATTAGGAGAGTTCTTTGAGAGAATGAAATAAGGAGTTCTTTCTTTTTCCTATTTAATATGGGGCGACGAGAAATTCAAGAAACTAAGAGTGAGAGAGAGATCTAGGCTTCAAAGTTAAGCTACCAGCACATTCAAAGAGTGCTCACTTTTTTGTGTGATGTCTGTCATAACCAAATTTTTCTTTTTCTAGGCTATCACAGAGCTGCAGAAGAATGGAATGAATATGAGCTTTTCCTTTTTGAATTATGCCCAGTCAAGCCAGTGTCGAAACTGGCAAGACAGTTCAGTGAGTTATGCAGCTGGAGCACTCACGGTTCACTGAAGCTCTGAATCCTCAGGGATGCCACCTGCACATACTCATACTCTGTCCAGGGTCCCAGCCTAACCCTTACCAAGATACTGGTCCTGGTTTGGGGGGATTCTGAAACCTCAAACTAATGGAACTTTCTTCTCTTCTTTTCTAGTAGGTGTAGTCCTTCCTTAATTTCAACTCATTAAAAAAATGCTTTATAGTTTAGAGCAGTGGAAGGAAGGCTGGCATCAAAATATTTTGATCAAAAAAAAAAAAAAAGGCAATGTAAAGGCACAGTTGTGGCAGTCAGTTTTTTGAAAGTTAACTTGTAAAGCATTTACCATATCCTAAATTTGCACTCTTTGCAGACTTGTGCACATATACTCCGCTTTCAGAATAGTTTTGCAAATTGTACACAAACAAACAAAGGGTGGAAGCTTTTTAATAAAGAAATTGCATTTATAAATGATCTGTATTAGAATATAAAAATCTCCAGTTATAGTCAATTACTACCCGTGTTGTACAACAGATACCTTCTATTTTAGTTGCTAATAAAGGGCTACACAACTCAAAATAGTCTGATTTAAACTTATTGCTCTGTGGTACATATAAAAATTGTTTTTTATTAATTCCATTTCAGAATTTTTATGTTAAAAGTGGTAAACTTTAACTCTTATGTAAAAATATGTTAGGATGTATTTTTATATTTTACATATTTATGTGATTTTTTTATCACAGATATTAGAATCATATTTTAAAGTTAGCTTTTAAAATTACATACAGTTTGCCTTTTTATGTGTGACATCACTTTGTGTCATTACTGTATTATAACACAATATAAATTCAAGATTGGTAAAGAACATAGGTGTAGTCCTGTAATTCAGAGATAGTGCTTGATAGGCAGTAGTCTGCAAATGAGGAAATACTGAAGAATGTTCTTAGTGGTTTTCAAATCATTGCAGACCATACACTGCTGCTATGCTTTTTTAGTGCTTCAAGCAATTTGACTCTCTTACTTGAATTTTTAGCAAGAAGTCATTAACAATAACAAAAAAACCACTGGATTTTCTTACAGTTCTACAATTTTTTTTTGTCATGATTTTTGGTGCGGCTCTTCCAACTAAAATAATGGTATGGTGTTGTATTTCTTCCTTTAGCATAGACCAATCGTAGTCACTTTGGCAAAAAAAAAAAGTTAATTCAATTAGTTAATATTGGCCATCATGTATGTACTAGATTATACCTATTTTAATATAACAGTGGGTATTATTACATTGGAGAGCATTTATATCTTCAGTGTTATGCCAGAATAGCACAATTTTTAGATGCCTTGCACCAATTTTACTTAAAGATTTGCATTTCTTACTAAATACCAACTTTCTATACTCAAGAACTGAGATAAAATACTGTAATCTTTTGGATTCAAAACTACCCACCAATCCATATGTGGAAATTATATTCTTACATATTACTGATTTATTTCCCATCATTCAGATATACTTTTGAGTACTGTAAATATTTATTCCTTATTTATTATATAGACTATAAAAATTTCAAAATTGACTACAGAGTAAATTTTTAATGTTTTCTGGGTATAAAACTAATTACATGATTATTACAGAAAATTTAGAAAATGCTGATAGCTATAAAGAAGAGAAAAAAAATTACCTGCAATCTCACTATTCAGCGATATACACTGTTAATATTTTTTGTATTTCCTTTCGGTCTTTGTCTATGCTATTTATATGTATGAGTGTGTATATGTCTTTGTGTGTGTGCGTAATAACAAAATTGAGATTATGCTGATCATATAGTTGTATATCCTACTTTTTATAACTGACCATCATAAGTACTTCCCCATGTCTTTGAAAATGTGATTTTTAGAAATGGCTGCCTAATATTCTATTGTATGAATACAACATAATTTAACCAGTTCTCTCTTTGGATATTAGATTGTTTCTAATGTTTGACAATTATAAATAATAGTGGGATGGACATCTTTGTATGTGAAATTTGAATTCTATATTAGACTAGTTCTTTAGGATATATTCATGGGAATGGGATAATTGGTTTAGATGGTGAGAACTTTTTAAGCTCTTTAAAATATGACCAAGTTATCCTTCAGAAAGATTGTACCAAATTAGCAGTTTATGAGTACTCATCGTACTGCCGCTTTTCCACTATTATTTTTTCTAATCGTTGACAATTTGTTAAGCAAATAATTGGTTGTTCTTTTGATCATTCTATTAAGAGTGGCTTTATAATGAATTATTTTTTTCCCTTCTGTAATTTTATAGTTAATTGATTAATAAAAAACACAAGAGGGTTGGTAGGTTGAGTGGGCTATAGCCCTCTGAGTATGTTTACTGTACATTTAAATCTCCAAAGTACTTCAACATCACTTTACTTTATCCTGGAATATGAGCTATCTTTCTTAGTCATAAAGTAGAAAGAGTTCCAAACTGATAGTTAAGTGTTGGGTTCTGGATCTGCCTCTGCCACTAATTATTTGTCTCACCATAAATATTTCATGTTGTATCAAAACTTTAACTGTAAAATGTAGAGGTGATCTTTTAAGCACTTTCCGGTTTCAAAGTACTTTGATCTTGTGATTTTGCTCTTTAGAGATTCTAATGTCATTTATGTTTAAAAAGCTACATGGTTGAATTGGATTAGAAGTATTATCTTTTGATTTCAACTCTACATACATGAAAACGAAAGTCCTTTTTTTTAATACAAAAGGGAAATTAATTTGCATTGCTTAATGCAGTTAATATTACCTAAATTGTTGAACTTAAGCTTTCCTGCTTTAAGTGCCTTTAAAAGTATTTTTATTTGAAATATAAAATGTAAAGGAAATTTTATGTAGTTCTATACAGTTTCTTTTTTTTGATATACTTTTGAGTTATTAGCAGCAACTTTTTTTTAAACCTTAGATTGCACAGAGCAGTATATTCATGGATTCTTCACTATTCGGGTAATGAGTCCTTGAGAAATGTATGTTAAAGATTAGCTCAGTGAGCAGGTAAGTAAATGCTCTCTGTCTTGGGTGGGCAACAAATCTTTTATACAGAGTAGGGATAAAGGATTATTCAGATTCCAGTGTTTAGATATTCCAATGGAGATAGTAGGTGTCCTGAGTTAGTTAATGGTTATTATTGCAGATCTCAAATTTTTCTTTGGTAGCAAATAGTTCATTATCGTAGATTAGAGGTTGGTAAATGTTTTGTGTGAAGGGCCACATAATAAATATTTTAGGTTTTTCAGGCCATCTAGTCGCTCCACAGCTATTCACTTTTGCCATTGTAACACAAATGCAGCCATAGACAATGTGTAAATGAGTCATTGTGGCTGTGCTTCACTCACACTTTATTTACACAAAAAGATGGTGAGCTGGATTTGGTCCATAGGCCATAGTTTGCTGTCCTAGATGGTATAGTTCACTTGTAGTTCAAATTACTGGCTAGTAATTTAAACTGTAACAAATGGTTGTGAGTTTCTGTCATTCCAGCCCTCTCTTAATTTGATGTAGTCTGGCTGGCTGGGTTTGAATGTTATTTAGGATTGTAAAGGTAAGTGGGAAGTGGGTATGGGAAACTAGAAACTATTAGGGAAAAAAGCACTTTGAAGCCCTTTTATTTGCTAGAGCCCATTAGGAGTTTTGCTTTGCTGCCATAGTTAATCAAAAGAGTGATGAGTGGAGGTTGTGATTGGTGGTTGCAGATTATATAAATTATTATTAAGCACTTGGCTACCTAGATGATAGTAGAGGGTGGAACAGATAAGAGAAATTGTGAAATGTGAGACTTTATTTTGCCATATAAAGAAAGACTGTTGGAAAAATAACTACCATCTTCCATCACCATCACTTTGTTTAAGACCCCCTCAAATTCCTCCCATATTTAGGAAGGACATAAACTTAGAATAAAAGAGAGTTATTTAAGTTGAATGACTTTAAGTTGATGGAAAAATTGCTCCACCTGTTCTTTTCTCATCTACTCTGTATCACTGAAAATTTCATCAAGGAGTAGTATCAGTCCATAGACTGGCAGTTGGAAAGTGCTGTGATACAGTTGCTGAAAGATCTAATGTAGTTATAAAATTATTATTGATAAGGAGATGTAGTAAACCACATGTACTCTGATATTCAGACTAAAACTTTTATATTATTGTGTTAAATTGTAAGTGCCACATATCAAAAGTGACATTGTGAAGTATAGTGTTCATAAGGAGGCAGACTGAAAATTGTAAGTGCCACATATCAAAAATGACATTGTGAAGTATAGTGTTCATAAGGAGGCAGACTGAATGTTGAAAGTCTTGAGTGGGATGCAAACATATTGGTGATACTTATTTTGGAGAAAATAAGTTTAAAGAGAGGGAGTTTTCTTCAGATATTTGAGTGACTGCCATGTGTAAGAAGGAATAGAATTGTTCTGTCTTATTCTAGGTAGAAAAATTAATTATAAGAAATGGAAGTTTCTGGTTCCACATTTAAGGAGAATTATGTGTATTGAGAATTTCTACATGAAAATCAGCTCTGTCCTCATAAAATCATTGGAAGTATTCACACAAAAGCTAGATCAGTGGTTCTCAAAGTAGGAGCCCTAGACTATCAGCATCAGCACCACCACTAGAGTATATTACCTGTGTAGACCTGAAATTATGGATCACCAAGCTGAAAAAAAGCTAATGGAATTAGTATAAATAAAATGGAACTTATTTCATTTGTATAAAACTGTTAAGGGAAATAATTTTTAAATAAAAACTGATTTTGATCATTTAACACTAACTTTCAACAGAGATTATAAATTGATGATTGTTACTTAATTGTTAGTGAAAGTGACTTAGCTTTCCTAAATCTAAAACAGAGCTATATCAGTATCAGAAAAGGGTATTGAGGGAGCTTGCTCTTTTTATATTATTTTAATGTCAAAATATTGGGAGGGGAACCAAGAGCAGCTGGCAGATAAGTTTTCTCTGTGCTTTTCCTCTTTTCCTATGCTGTAAATATGACCGAGTGGCATGTCACAGTATTACATTGACCATGCTATATACATTTGGTAAAAGTAATGCTGGTAACTGGAACTTCTGCCTTTGTAACGTAATTGTTGTGTATGGAGTTTGTTTGCCTATCCTAAGTTTATTGATATGTTCTGTTTTTTGGGTCCTCTGTGAAGAACTGTAGAGTTTTAGATTTGTCATTTGTTCAAGGGTTCTCCAGTGGTCACAGAGTGGTTTGTACCCAGGGCTTATCACATTTACAGTGTTTGTTTGTATTTAATTCTAATGCAAGGTTTTGGCCATCACCCTAGAAAAATAATGGAAAAAATTTAAAGCCAGTTCTCCTAAGTTTGAAAGCCATATAATGCAATTGGTTTTTCATTATAAATTGTACACTATATTGAAATGTATATTTCATACTGTATAAAGTGAGGTTTGTAATTTTACTAGATACAGTCCTATTTTTTTCCTATCAGCCTAATAAGGAAACCAAAGAGAATGTTATTAACTTATTCAAGGCCAAGTGTATTCAGCTATGAGTAAGACCTTAGTTCTGGTCTTTAAGTCTGCCAATGTAAACTTTGGAAAATATTTTAATTTTTGTGACCACAGTATTCTCTGAATTACTTACTGAATGTGATATTATATACATTTAAGTAAAAAGTATTAAAGCAAGATGAAAACTAAGAAAATTAGAATGACATGTGAATGACATCATATAAATGACAAGACTGAGTTTTGTGAGTTTTAAAATTAAATACCTAGACTGTTGAACTAGATTTAATAAAATATTTTTACCTTAACAATTTTATAAATGGAAATTCTTTTCTAAGAAGTTTTTTTTTCCATTTAAAATTTACCCATTTAAATCTAGCACATAAGAGACTTCAGTTGGTATTGGTTCAACTTTGATGAATTGAATTTTAAAGCAAGGAGAACAAAAGGCAATCTTTATATGAAGTGTTTTTTAAAGGACAGGAAAACAAACCTTTTAACTGGAAGCAATTTTTAATTGGCTTTTTCCATGTTCAGTTTTTGATTGTGGAAACCAGCTTCCTTATTAATTTTAAAAGATGGTAGAATTTAATATTCCTAGGGTCTATGTAATGCCAAATGAATGATAATATAAGTGATCTGGTAAATTTGAAACCATTGGCCCATGATTCTTAGCTCATATTTTATAATATCCTGTGGTGTTTACTGTTATTTAAAAGAGTTACAGAGTTTTTAAAACAGCTAATTAAACTGTGTTTTAGCTGTTTGTCCAATGACATGTCTAGCCAACTCTCAAGTAAAAAGATGTTTTGAGGTGCTAGAAGCTTCGCACTGGAATCCATTTTCAGCTTTGCCAGTGAGTTGCTACTGATTTGCTGGAACAAATCATTGGTCTTTCCTAGAGCAGAGTTTATCTCTTTATTAATGTGTGTTAGAAGTGAATAGTATGACTCCTAAGGGCCTTTCCACCTTTGACTTTTTATGATGATAATAAAAATACCTTATTATTTAATATATTGTACTTTTAACATATTGTAATTTAAAAAATATGTTTCACACCTTTTTCTTTTCTCTTAATCTCAACAATAAGTAGGCCAGACGTTACTGTATTTTTATTGATAGAGACTCAGAGGCCCATACAAATAACATGACTTATATAAGTTTGCATGGCTAGTTAGTATGAAGAGCTAGCAAGAAGTCAGCTCTTCTAATTTTTAGTCTTGTGTGTTACAAATGCTATACCATATTATTATTCTATGTTTTGTTTTTGGTGCTGGCTCTTTGAGATATCATATTGAATTCAAATAGTAATGGGTTTGTGCAACTTTAGTGAAAATGGGAATAATTCATGTAAACATCTACTTTGATTAATTCAGGCAAAAACAGATTTTTTTTTGGTGGATTAAAATACTCCTAATAACTGCAGACTTCTGTTCTCTTTGCTGGGAGGTTTACTTTTAGACCTCAAAATTCTGTGCTATTGCTTGCATCGTTAAAAATGCACTTCTTCTTTGTAATGAGACTGTGACAAAAAATGAATTTAAGTTTTGTGATTTCTGATGGTGAGACTTTGCAGCAGACACTCTCACCATTCCAGTTCATGCATTAACGTGTCCTGCAAGCACCTGCGACTCTGCCTTGGATTTTCTCACCTGCATACAGGGCAGACTGGAAGTGCTAGGAAGATAATCCTCTGGGAGCATCCCTCAGCCAGTGATAGATGGGAATCGGAGAATAATTATTCCAGCTTCCTTGCCCTTCTGGTAATACTTTGAGGCGTGTTTCATGTGGTTTCCTAGAGTTTCCAGTGGGGCTGGACCTCATTGCCCACAACAGGAGACTGTTAAATATGCATTCTTTATTTTCTTCCTCTTCTTCTCTGTCTCACTTCTCATTCCTTTAACAATGTTTTCTGACATTACCTCCCAAATGAGATTCTTGTCTTTGAATCCTGTCTCAGAGTCTGTTTCTGGGGTAAACTAAAACATGTTTGATTTGGGAAATAAGTTATTACTAGTGTTCTTGTTAGATATGAAAGATTTTTTTTTAAGGCAATTATTTTTAACAAGATCTAAAACAAGTATTTTAATATTCTGATTCTTTAATTAGTCTCATAATCACATCCATGTTCAAATTAATTTCCTTAGCTTCATTTCCTAACAAAGGAAAGATTCAAGTAGAAATTCAGGGTAAATATCTTATGTGGAAATCTTTCTACCATATCTTTTTGTCCTTCTAAAGAAAATTATGGCCTGATTTTCCAAATGCTTTATACGGACACAGTGGGTTATCTATTTTGGTAGAAATTGAATTAACATGGAATTTGGTTCAGCCAACATTATAGATTATTTTCTACTTGAATCCAGCCTTCTCATCTCTTATCAGGACCTGCTTATTCACAATCCGTGACCAGGATTAGCCTTGCCGAACATTGATTGTAAGGATAAATTTAGTTCCTGGCTAATTTCCCCAAAGATTGCTCTGTGGTCCTTGTTAACTCAAAACTTTTTCTGATTTATTAAAGATTAAGAATATGGAGTTTTAAAGTTGAATAAGCGCTATGTTAAATTCAGTGTATTGTAAGTACATCTTTTGTAGTTCTTTGATACCTTTTTTTTGAACTAGAAATAATGATTTTTATATGTTTTTTAAAAAATTGATGTGGGAGATTTGTATTCCTTTTAGGCATATGTTAGTTATCAGTCTTCTTCTTTTTTCCATGTAAAAATTGTGTTTGTATGTCTGAAATGTATTCTCTATTGATTTGGTTTATGCGATGGAACATGCATGAATTTAACCAAGTTTATAGTTCTATTTATAGGGCCATCCTAAGATTAGCACGCACAGATTTTTTTCCATAGGAAAAACAAAACATTTAAAGAATGTATTTTAATTAGTTATCCTTTTTGTAAAGTAACATCTTTAAACATTTGTATTTTTTTTAAGCAAAAATACCAGAGAGTGTATACAGAGTATTTTCCCTCAATGCAGTTGCCTTGTGGTAACTTCACATTCTGCCATGTTCTTTTGAATATATGACAGGGCGTTTATTGACCTTTGAGGTTACATTTGTCTGTTAGAAATGTTCAAAGGTCAGCTGGGTGATTAAATTGGGTAATATGGTCTAGGGGGAAAATAGTTACAAAGGAGTAAGTCTGACTTTCTCCTGGGACACATCAAACTGGTCTAAAGTGGAAACTGTCTCCTCAGAATCTCTGCAGTGGCATATTGGAAAAAGCTTGTAGTCTATTAAAGTAACTATTCATTTGTAAATATAAGTTCTGTTATTTCAAAAACATTAATCTTGTTATTTTTTAGACGTGTTACTTCCCAACAACTAATTTATTATCAAATCCAGTCAAGGCTTTTGGCATTTCAAATATCTCAATATGATAGATTGAAAATTTGGAGTAAGAACCAGAGATGATTTTTAAAATGTGTTAAGAAGGCTGTCCCATTTCCTGAACACTAAATATTTTCTGTAAGGAATGTTAGATCAAAAATGTGAAATATCTTTTTACAGTCTTTACTGGAAGCTGATTCTTCGTGCTAAATGTGAACAATCTCATGATAACTTGATGTAAAACAAGCTTGAAAAATTGTCTCTTTTCAAAATTTCACGTATTTTGCATCACCAGTAGGCCACTTATGCAATACCTCTGTACTAAATATTCAAGTACAACCTGGACTTTTTAAGGTTTAAAAAGTGCTCCCTGCCTACATTAATGTTAAGTACTTGTATTTAACAATGTTATATTTCTGAGTGTTTGTTAATTTGATGAATCTTATAGTGTTAGTCTGTTCCTGAAAGTTCTACTTGGTACAGTTGTCAGAGAAAATTAACTTGGATGAAACAATGATGCATGTTTTAATAGTTAAAATATTTTAAAATTTCTATTTAAAAAGTAGATCTCCATAATTGCCACAGATAATTTTGTAATTTCTGGTTCTTATTGTTTTTGTGTTAGGAAAATATTTACCTTGCAGTGCTTGATTTACATTTTTTGCTGTTTGAAAAATCTTCACATTTATTGTCTCAACAGAAATAATTTTTAACTAAATGTTTACATTATTGAATGAGGGAAGTTGAACCAATTGTTATTACTAAAACTGGTCTAAATTTAGGTCTAGTGTTTTGCATTAGGTTTGTGATTGAATATCTGAAGGATATCAGTTTCCACTCAGATATTTACATTAGAATTGATATTGGATTCAAAATTGCTTGATTGTAATTTACATTTTAAGTGTAATGTAGAGGTTTTGCATTATTAGTGTTGTTTTAAATTTCTACCTTCATTTAGGCTTGTTTATAAAATGAAGATTAAAAAAATTTTTAGCTAATAGAAATTTAGGTAAATGTACAGTATTTAAATCATTAGTTTATTACTTGAAAGGAACTTTTGTTCCTTTCGTTCAGTGTGCGATAACAGCTTTTATGTGGTACAACTACATTTCCTTTTTCTTCATTGAAATTTTACCTCTTTAACTGAAGTTATGTCTGTCTATAATAGCTTCAGATTTCTGTAACCAACTCGTAGATGATTGAAGTTACTCTTGATATAAAATGAATTATAAAAATTATTTTTAGCAAAATTTTATAGTAATTTCAATACCACATGGTAGCAAAAAGCTATCTGGTTAGAATCTTTAGCTTTTCTTGTTAGTTTCTATCCTATTATTTTCCCCTCCTTAAAAAAAAAGTCTACATTGCCAGTACCTTCTCTACAATTTTAGGAAAACTACATATTTGAAAGTGGAGTTATTTTCACTGAATTTTAGTCTTTCTGCCCAAGATGAGCAGCACTGTGACAGGGAGCTATACTTTACTTCTCTCTCTTATAACAGAGTTTGCAGCACTTAATATTCTTAAAAAATAAACCTTTACCAAATTTTGTACTTATTTGCAGATCAGCCTAGGAACACCCTCAAGAAAGCAACAGTGGATTGTGTAGCAAAATAGAGATGCTGAGATTACTGAGCTTGGGGATTTTATCATGTTCACTGAAGAATAATAGTCTTTCAAATAAAGATAATGAGGTTTATATAATAAATGGAAAATAATATGAATAGTCAAAATATTGTTTAAAAAATTTAAACCCTTCTTAAGGCAAACTAAATTGGTTATTCCTAGGAGTATCTATCTTTCATGTATTTGGGAACTAAAGCAGTAAATGCCAAGTTTTATCTGTTTCTCTCCCCACTTTTAGTTAATTCATACAAGTAATTCAACAGTAGTATTACTGGTTTAATTCTGTAATACTTGTTATCTCCTAACGTTTAAAAAGACATTGCCTCAGTCCCTAAAGTAATCTACAGATTCAACACAATCACTATCACAATCCCAGCTGCCCTTTTTTGTAGATTTTGACAAGTTGATGCTAAAACTTATATGGAAAGGCAGGGGACCTAAAATAGCCAAAACAATCTTGAAAAAGAACAAAACTGGAAGACTCACATTTCCTGATTTCAAAACTTACTACAAAGCTACAGTAATCAAGACAGGGAGGTACTGGCATGAAGATAGACATATAGATCAATGGAATAGAACTGAGGGTCTAAAAATAAATCCTCATGTATGATCAATTGATTTTCAAGAAGAGTGTAAAGATAATTCAATGGGGAAAGAATAGTCTTTTCAACAAGTGGTGCTGAGACAACTAGATATCCACGTGGAACGAACGGAAAAAAGGACAAACTGGACTTCATCAAAATTTAAAACTTTTTTACATCAAAGGACATCATCAAGAAAATAAAAGAACTCACAGAATCGGAGAAAATTTTGCAATCACATATCTGGAAAGGGACTTGTATTTTTTATATATATAAATAACTCACAACTCAAAATGAAACTCAATTTAAAAATGGGCAAAGGATCTGAATAGACATTTCTCCAAGGAAGTTGTACAAATGGCCAATAAGCAAAGATGCTTACCATCATTAGACATCAGGGAAATAAATGCAAATCAAAACCACAATGAGATACTATGTCACACTGGGCTGGCTATAATAAAAAAGACAGATAACAACATGTGGGCAAAGATGTGGAGAAATTGGAGGCTTTGTGCATTGCTGGTGGGAATATAAAATGGTGCAGCCCCTTTGGAAGATAGTCTGGCAGTCCCTTAAAAAGCTAAACAGAGAGGTATCTTATGATTGACCCAGCAGTGCTACTCCTACCTACATACCTAAGAGAAATGAAAACGTGCCTGCACAAAAAGTTATACATGAATGTCCATAGCAGTATTATTCATATAAAACCCAAAAAGTAGAAATCAACTGCTGAATGGATAAAATGTAGTATATTCATACAATGGAATCTTATTGGGCAATGGAAAGGAATGAAAGAGTGATACACTCTACAACATGGATGAACCTTGAAAACATCATGCTAAGTGAAAAAAGCCAATTATAAAAGACCAATTACATGACTCCATTTATATTAAATGTCCAGAATAGGCAAATCTTTAGAGACAGAGAGACGAAGGAGATGATAACTAAAGAGCACAGGTGGCACTTCCCTCGTGGCGCAGTGGTTAAGAATCTGCCTGCCAATGCAGGAGACATGGGTTTGAGCCCTGGTCTGGGAAGATCTCATGTGCCGTGGAGCAACTGAGCCTGCGCGGTAGAGCCTGTGAGCCACAGCTACTGAGCCCACGTGCCGCAACTACTGAAGCCTGTGCACCTAGAGCCTGTGCTCCACAACAAAAGAAGCCACCCCAATGAGAAGCCCGCACACCGCAATGAAGAGTGGCCCCCACTAGACGAACTAGAGAAAGCCCACATGCAACAATGAAGACCCAATGCAGCCCCCCCCCCAAAAAAAAAGCACAGGTATTCTTTTATGGGGTGATAAAATTGATTTTGGTGATGGTTGCTTAAGTCTGTGAATATACTAAAAACCATTGAACTGTTTGATTTAAATTGATGATCTGTATGGTATGCGAATGAAGCTGCTAATGTTAATAAAGCTGTTGGAAAAAAAAAAAAAGATTACCTCTAAGATAAAAGATGGTGATGTGAAGAAAGATACTGATCTGTATCCGTTCTTCTTTTCTCTTTATTGTATTTTTGTTTTCCTGTATATTGAAAACAACGACGACAGCCTACTTTTGTAGTCCTGAAGAGGCTGCTTTAACCTGGGAGAAACTTTTTCAAGATAGCTCACAACCTGTGGCTTCTGGCAGTAGGTAATCTATTCATTCTCTTGTATCCTTAGGCTTGACTTTTGTTTTTTTTTTTCTTTTTTCCCTACAATTCATTTTTTTTAAAAAAACATCTTTATTGGAGTATAATTGCTTTACAGTGGTGTGTTAGTTTCTGCTTATAACAGTGAATCAGCTATACATATACATATATCCCCATATCTCTTCCCTCTTGCGTCTCCCACCCTCCCTATCCCACCCCTCTAGGTGGTCACAAAGTACCGAGCTGTTCTCCCTGTGCTATGCAGCTGCTTCCCACTAGCTATCGGTTTTACATTGGTAGTGTATATATGTCCATGCCACTATCTCACTTTGTCCCAGCTTACCCTTCCCCCTGCCTGTGTCCTCACGTCCATTCTCTAGTAGGTCTGCATCTTTATTACTGTCCTGCCCCTAGGTTCTTCATGACCTTTTTTTTTTTAAGATTCCATATATATGTGTTAGCATACGGTATTTGTTTTTCTCTTTCTGACTTACTTCACTCTGTATGACAGTCTCTAGGTCTATCCACCTCACTACAGATAACTCCTTTTCGTTTCTTTTTATGGCTGAGTAATACTCCATTTTATATATGTGCCACATCTTCTTTATCCATTCATCTGTCGATGGATACTTAGGTTGCTTCCATGTCCTGGTTTTTAATGGAGAGTGGAACTCAGGAGATAATACCCAGCAGCCCCATGTTTGTGTGCAGGAATGGTGTTAGGCATGTTCTCTAACTGTACTTGTGGTCTCAGATGCTTTTTTGTGGTCCCCTCCAAGGACCTTTCCATCCCTCCCACCCCCAAAAAAAGACCCCACCAGCAACGACCCCCTTCTTGCCCCTTTTCCCTCACTCCTTTACTGTTTCTCCCTCTTCCTTCAATGAAACACATCAAGGAAAATAGGACCTTGTAAGTATGCAATTGCTGTATTTCATATTCTTAATTAGCACGCATAAATTTAGCATTATCTTCTAACAGGCATTCTTACCACTAGTCACGCTTCTTTAGTTCATTGTCCTTCTAAATATTAGTGTTAGTTTGGGTAGCCTTTAAGTGTATTTAATATAAGGAAAAGGGTGAAGGGAAGAAATAACCATTTATAAAGTTACTGGATTTCATTGCTAATGGTAAATAATGTTTTAATCTTTTGCCAAATGAACAACACCTTTTAAAAGGAAAGGAAAAAAATCATTTTATGCAAATGTTTGTAAACATGTATGTAAATATGTTGTTTTCTTACAAAAATCATTAATAAAAATGGATTTTTAGTTTCTTCTTGAATGGGGTTCCTTTGTGTGTAATAGGGCAAATTTTGCAAGCCTAAAACAACACTTAAATCTCAGTTTCTTTCATCATATGACATCAGAAGGGATACAGCTTTCTCTATTTTGTCATTTTTTTATCCTATGTCTCTTTTTCTCCCTTTATCTAAGAAAGAATGTCATTTTTTTTTCTTTTTTGGGTTGAGGCATAATTGGCATAAAGTATATTAGTATATATTGCAAAATGGTCTCCACAATAAGTCTAGTTAACATGTCACCATAGAGTTATACAATGTTTTTTCTTATGATGAGGTCATTTGAGGTTTACTCTCTTAGCAACTTTCAAATATGTAATGCAGTACTATTAATTATGGTCACCATGCTATACATTATATCCCTATAATTTATGTATTTTATAGCTGAAAGTTGGTACCGTTTGACCCATTTCACCCACTCATCATTGCCTGCCTCTGATAACCACCAATCTGTTTTCTGTATCAGTGAGCTCGGTTTTGTTTTTGTTGTTTTTTTAGATTCCACATGTAAGTGAGATCTTATGGTATTTGTCTTTCTCTGACTTATTTCACTTAGAATAATCTCCTCAAGGTCCATCCATGTTGTTGCAAATGGCAGGATTTTATACTTTTAAAATGACTGAATAATAAATATTGTGTATTGGTATGTGATCACCATAGTTTCTTTATCCATGCATTGATGGACACTTAGATTGATTTCATATCTTGGCTACTGTAAATGCTGCAGTGAACATGGAGGTGCATATATCTTTTTGAGTTAGTGTTTTCATTTTCTTTAGATAAATACCCAGAAGTGAAATTGCTAGATCGTATGGTAGTTCTATTTTTAATTTTTTGAGGAACCTCCATGCAGTTTTCCATAGCGACTGCACCAATTTACATTCCCACCAATAGTGTACACGGGTTCCCTTTTCTCCAAGTCCTTTCCAACACTTGTTATTTATTGTCTATTTGATAATAACCCTTCTAACAGGTTTGAGGTGATATCACATTGTGGTTTTGATTTGCATCTCCCTGATGATTAGTGATGTTCAGCAGCTTTTCATGTACCTGTAGGCCATGTGTATGTATTCTTTGGAAAAATATCTATTCACATTCCCTGCCCATTTTTAAATTGGATTTTTTTTTCCTATTGAGGTGTATGAGTTCTTTATATATTTTGGATATTAACCCTTTATCAGATATGTGGTTTGCAAATATTTTCTCCCATTCAGTAT